TGGGTGGCGTTTTGGGGAATGTTAGCATTCTGAAACTGGATAACCACGTGAAAAATAAAGTTCTTGTATTTCGCCAAGTCGCTTGGCTAATGATTATGTAAACTAACACAAGATAACGGCACAAAAAGACGTTCTTAAGGTGAAAATTGTTGGAGATTTCAGGAAAAATATAAAAATACGATACAAGTAGGCTGAATTTTTCGAGATCTTCAGATCTCTTTTTTCCATTTGGGTGTCAGGCAGACGTTACATTTTATTAATCTAGTGTTCATATTAATCATTAATCCAGTGTTTTGCGTCATGTCATCTTCCTTTATTCTGGACTTATTTCTTTTTTTCTATCTGTTTATCTACTTTTTGGAGCTGGATGATAGTATCTATTTTGCAAATGGCTTAATCCTAATTATAGTATTTAAACAAAAAGGAAAAAAAAAAAAAAAGAATTTTGCATTCAAATGAAAGCCAAGTTAACAATTTTGAAACTGCTTAAAAAGGGTGAAACATCAAGTTCATTATCTGCAGTTATAAATGTGAGAAAATCCAGAATTACGGGTATTGCAATTTTCTATTACTTTTGTCAAAAAATATAATGCGATATTGAAATAAATATCACAGTATTTAAAAATAAATTTGTATTTAGTTAAATTAGTACTCATGAATAAATTATTTATTTTAAATAGTCATTTTTTCAAATATGAAACGAATATTAAAAAAAAAAATCGAATCCTTCTTGGTCGCATCGAGATTAATCGATGCCGTATTGTGTTGTATTTTCCCGTAAAATATGGCAGGGAAAAAAAAATTCCTTTAACTCTTACAACTGCTGTTGTAAACTTTGACTATCGGTTAGTCTCCGGGCTATCTCTAGATCGGGCAGTCTATAAAGTACAGTAAATTCTATGATACGAATAAAATTAAAGATTAGAATTGAAAATTAGTCATATAAGAGTTTTTTTTTTCTATCTTGGTTACTGAAATATAGAACAAAATTATATCTAAAATAAATAGTCAATAATCACTGTTCGATAGGTGTGAATTATCTTTTATTCACAAGAATATTTTAGTAATTTTCAACTTAATTTGAAGTAAAAGGTGGTTCCTCATTTTTAACTTAATGCTGTAGCTTTTGGAAAAAGGAAAACATCAGTGACCTATACTAAGTCATTTATATGTAAAGTGGCAATAGAAAACTATTTTTAACAACAACAAAAAAAAAGTTTTAATTGCTACTTTGCAAGTTCAAAAAGAATTTTGTCTTATATATTCATTGTTAGAGAACTAAATGCTACCAATCCGCAAAAACTAAACTGGTAAAAAAAGAAGTGTGGCTTATCAATATACCCTCCTTAAATTAACTTAATTCAAATAACTTAACCTAAATTTTAATATTAAAGTATTAAAAAAAGAAACTATTACTTAAATAAAGCATGAATTCTGCACATTACTTAAGGAAGATTACTATAGTTTCTCTACAAATAATAATTTTATAAACTCAGTCTTTCAGAAATTTTTTCACGACAACATGCAGATTGTTTTAGCAAATCCTCACAAAATTCTTTTATTTTTTCTATTGTCTTTTGCTTTTATAACTTTTGAAATGAGCTATATCTTCTGTTGATTTAGTAAAATCTTGATATTTATTAATTAACAGAAGACAAATTCTGTAAGTCAAACGTAGCAATGTCCCCCACGACGTTATGAGGCTTACATTCATAACTCCCCTCCCAGTAACCTTGGATGAAATCGAACTAACAGTCAATCTAAACGTTTTTTACTCTCGCTCCCAGATATCCAAGTTAAATATGATAAGCCTATCGTCCAACAGGGTTAGCGACGCTGACTGCCGTACCGAAAGGCCCTGTTCGAATCGCGTAGATGGCATGGATATTTGTAAACCTATAGTGTCTGTGTAGCATGGGAGCACTCTAAATATGCGGCGAGCGAAGTCTACTCTGCATCAAAATTGGGGGTGGAACTGAGCAAAGTCAGACTGCCACCTGCATGGGGCCCAAAGCTCTTGCAAATGGAAGGCGCCATCTTGTCTCCTTGTAGCGATGAATTTTGTTGGCCTGATCTAATATCAGACAAACGAGATTAGTCACAACAACAACAACAATTACTGGTAACTGTTAATAGCCATATCTAGCTGAGTGATTTCAGTTTTAACCTGTATTAACTATCCTAGTTACGGTATACCTGAAAACAAATAGGTAATTAGGTGTCATTAGGTTTTTCTTATTCTTTCTTTCTCTATCATAGTAAAATATTGTATTTAATTAACTTGTCTTTTCTTCTAAGTAGATAAATTCTAATCAACCATGTTCTCATCAAATATACACTTATATTTTTATTGTTGTTTATTTTTTTATTTATCGTAAAATTAAGGGCTCTTATATTTGAATGGGCTCTTTTCTTCTAGTAAGTAGGGTATATAACCAATGAAGACGAAGTTAAGCTTGAATTAGTAGATGAGTTAGTTATTTTTTAAAGTTACGCCTATTTTCAGCCCATGCTAAGAGTTTATTTGAGTCCTAAATAAATACAGAAACGTTACCACACATACTTAAAGCTTATCCAGAGCTGACGCTGTGGATCTTAAATTCTGCTACTGAGCGCCATGGATGCAGAGAAGAAATAAAATCTGTAGGCAATGCTTTAAAGAATTTGGAAATTGCAGATGAGAACAATTACTCTTATTTAATTCTGTAAATGAACTTTGCTTTGTTAGTTCCCCATTCACATATATCCCATCGACTGGAAAAATATTATCAGTCATCGAGGCTGGTTGAACTCATATTGTATTGTTGACATAGGCAGTCACAAACAACTTGGCTCAAAAAGCATACCTATTCCTTAAGAACTGCATCAGTACTTTTTAGATTTTTAATACGCTGACTACCAATAAGTATTTGGACACCTATGCAAATGACGATATCTGCGGTCCCAAGGTACGCCACGGACTCCGCCGGTATATATCGTGTAGGAAACAGCATCGGCTTTAGTCGCATGCAAGATGCCTCGCAGTTCGGAGCTCTCTGATTTCGAGAAAGGTATAATTATCGGGTATCACAAATGTGACCGATCCTTAAGGGACATATCTAGCGATCTGAAGTACCCAATATCGACAGTGGCCTATGTGATTAAGAAGTGGAAGGTGAGGGGTGATTGTCACAATGTGCCCCGAGTCGGCAGACCAACGAAACTGGGGGATAGAGACTGACGAGTGCTGTTCAGAGAAATTCGGAAGAACCGATAGCCCTCATCCGTGAGGAGTTTCAACAGGCATCCGGGAGTATTGTTTCAATGAATACCATCCGTAAGGAAGCACATCTGCTTGGTTTCCATGGTCGTGCTGCTGCCCATAAGCCTTTGATCACAAAGTCCAACCGCGCTGCTCGGTTAATGTGGTGCAAAGCACATCGAAATTGGACCGTAGATCAGTGGAAACGGGTTCTTTGGAGTGACGAATCAAGCTGGTTCTTTGGAGCAACTAATTCTCATCTGCAAGTTCCAAATTCTTTAAAGCATTGCCTACAGATTTTATTTCTTCTCTGCATCCATGGCGCTCAGTAGCAGAATTTAAGATCCACAGCGTCAGCTCTGGATAAGCTTTAAGTATGTGTGGTAACGTTTCTGTATTTATTCAGGACTCAAATAAACTATTAGCATGGGCTGAAAATAGGCGTAACTTTACTCACCCTTTACCGTTCGGATGGCAGGGTCTGGGTTTGGGGTCTACCTGGAGAACGTCTCCTGCCAGAATGCATTGTGCCAACAGTCAAGTTCGGCGAAGGTGGAATTATGGTCTGGGGGGTGTTTCTCCTGGTATGTGCTGGGACCCTTGGTCCCCATTCATGGTAAGCTCTAATCCGATGCCTACTGCACTATTTTGGATGACAATGTGCTTCCTACGTTGTGGCAGTTTTATGGGTTGGACCCCTGTTACTTTCAGGACGACAATGCCAGTTGCCATGTTTCGACGTTAACCAAGGCTTGGTATGGTGCCAGTGGAGTTCATCGAATGGACTGGCCTGCCCAGAGTCCAGACCTGAACCCTATCGAGAACCTCTGGGACGAGTGCATCGCCGAATTCAGGGGTGCACTACCCTTGAAAAATCCGTAAAGGAACTTCTATGTCTTCTCCAAGCCGAGTGGAAGAAAATACCACTAGCTGTCATACAAAGACTTGTGGAAAGTATGCCCTAGAGGGTCCACGCTGTAAATACCTCTCGTGGAGGCTCTACCAACTATTGATTTTGAATAAAGTTAGTTTTCCTTTTTCTATCACAGGTGTCCAAATACTTATTGGTAGTCAGTGTATATTTGAAGCAACAGCAGCAGATGTACGCAAGTTAGTAGCAGAGATTCGAAACAGAGAGAGACTTTCTATAAGAAGAAAATTTGGTGCTATTTGGTATCTATAAATTTAAATGCTGCTTCATATGCTTTTTTTAATTAGCCGGTCTATTCGTCTATCCATTTTCCCATAGGCCTGTTAATTAGAAGTCTTAATTGTGCTATACTCTTTCACTTTATAGTTCTCTTTCTGTTATTTGTTTCCGAACAAATTACACACATTTAAATTGCAATAAAATGTTTCATAAATTAGGTCGTGGTACTGATAGGTTTGAGAAGTATTACTTTATCTATCTCTTATTTTAAAGTTTGATATATTTTAATAATGATCATATACATTTTAATAACGGTCATATAGTTTAATAATAATTCTTTCTTTAATAATGCATTATTTCCTTTTAAAAAGTAAAATGAATATGATTTTCTATTTGTTTATTTTTCGGCAAAGGTCGTTTGATAAATTTCGGAAGTTTTATTTTCTCACTTCATTTTAATATATATCATTTCTACGCATGTAAGTAGAAATATTCTTATTATCAAAAATTTTTATTCGAATTTACGGAATCATTTCTTCAGATGAATTTCAAAATGCCTTAGTACTAAATAGTTAATCATATCTCCCCATTCCTTCTTTTATTTCACAGGTTTGTTAAAAACCGGATTCAGGATGAATGTTTTATTGTACGCGGCGTTACTCACGTCGCACATATCAGCTATATGGTGTTCGCCTGGTTCTGGTTCCCAGACTGTGACTTTCAGCATGCGAAAACTAGCCTTCTCCACAAATCAATTCGGAATGGATATGTACCGAGCGCTCAACATCACCGATGAGAATGTAGCCTTTTGCCCTTTCTGCATCGGGTCCTCCCTAGCCATGATCCTGTTGGGAGCCGAAGGCAACACGGCCATGGCTCTGAGGCAAGCTCTCTACCTCTGGGGACTTCACCCGCAAGAAATCCATAAGGCCTACCACGATCTGATTGCCCACCTGGGTTTGAATCTTACGCCTTTGGAAGAGATGGGAGTTGACATGCGTAGGTCCTATGTTGATGACAATACTTTGAAACTTATCAATAATATATATATTCAAAGGCATTTCTCAGTGCATTATCCTTTTCAGTTCCTTCTTAACAGGTAAGTTCGTTTTTTAAATAGATTAAATGTGCAATTGGTAAACTGACGAATTCTTGTTAAACCAGTAATTATTTTCCCCCGATTTTTAGGCAACTCTTCAAAATTTAGTTCTAATCAAGGATTAAAATGATTGTTTGAAATCAGGAAAAGGCATGAATTACTGTTTTCAAATTTTATAGAAGAAATATGAAAACTTTTATTAACTCAAATTCTTTTTACTTTCATTGCATGGCAGGTTTTTAACTCATCGTGAAAAGAAGAGTCGGGCTATCTCTTAATATATAATGTGCTATCTTTGTAGTCCGAGGAAATGGTAACTAATGACTTTCCTGATCTCAAGATGAATTTATTTAAGAATTTTTAATATCAAAGGTTCTCTTCATTTGATACTCTTTGTATACCATTTTGTAATTTTTTTCACTGATAAAATTTATAATGAAACTTCCGTCTGCTCATAAAAGATAACATTCTACCATTAAAAAGAATTTCTTTTTGATCGCTCTGTTTTTCTTTTCTTTTATAACAAAATTGCTCATATACACCGAATATGTTTGTTGGCTTGGAAGGTGCATCTAACGCATTCCAAGAATAATAAAATTCGTGTTTCACTTCGTAAGGTATCTAAACCTGGTATGAAATCTGGGGGAAGGGGATATATAGTGTCTCTAGTTAGTGGCATAGTTGAAAATTAATAAAGAAAAGTCGTATTTATTGTTAAACATACAGAAATTATTATAGCTACAAAACTGCAGTTTGAGCTTCAATTTTGAAACGTTTTACTATCTAAGAAGGAATACTGATCCACAGCTTATTGTTTTATTTGATTAGAATAATATTTTGTTTTGTTTATGTTTTTAACGCGTAATTCACTCTTATGCAGCTTAGGAAGGATCACATTTTGCTCATGTGGCAAAACATTTCAGCTTTTTGATGGTCGTAAAACTGGCATGCTGCTCTAGCTCCTTCTATTGTAAGCATTAAGAGTGAGGAATACATTAATGGCAAAATTATATTGAATTTATAAAGTTTCAGCCTGGAAATTTAACAAACGATTAAGGATCTTGACAAAATAATTAAAGAAATGTAAGAGGCATTAAAAAATATTTTTTCAGCCCGTATTTTCTAGCTACATATTCATGAAATACAGAATCCTTCTTACACGGCAAATGAATTTTAACATTTACGTGCTTAATGCTAACACTCTAAATAGTTAACCGAAGGATTATAAGGTATTGTCTCTCTCTCCTTTCCGTATGTCTTCGTGGTGTGTGATTGGAAGCATTCTTGACGCGTATTTGAGAGGTCCAGCGTTCGAGTTAAACAGCGATTGCACAGTTTTCACGTCTTCTGCTTAATAAATAAATAAATAAAATCCTAATGAGTCTACAAGTTTATTTCTTGTCTCTTGGTCCAGCGGCCGAGTGGTAAAGTCGCTGAACACTGGTAGTTCGGTCCGAGGTTCGAATCCCGCGAACGGGCTGGCTGCATGGGTGTTTTCGTGGTTTTCCCCATGTGTAACGTGTATACGAGCCAGTTTCCTTTAAGTCCTCCACGAAGGCACTCCCCTTAGGCAGATAGCCCTCGAGGCTTTGCCGTAATTAAATAACCTAACCTAACCTAACCTAACCTGTCTCTTGGTTTTATGATATTTTAAATTAGATGTATTTCGGCCAACTTTAAAGCGTTTCGATTACTTATTTCAAAATTCACATTATGTTTATTTGTTCTAGGCAGAACCGTTTAATAGTTTAAGTTCGTTAGTTTAATAGTTTAATAGTTAATAGTTCAAAGCTCAATGCATGATGAGACCGCAAGCCTTGCACTTTCGTATTACGTAGAAGTTTACTATTTTTTAGCAAGTATTTAGGTTTTGCCTGGTTTCCTTGCTGATATAGTGTCTTATTTATGTTTAGCTATTACCAGAACACATTTACAAGTTAAGACTGAATGTGAATTCCAACGATTTCCCATTCTCGTCGGAGCTATTATTCCTGCTAACATTTCGACAACAGAACAACGCCTATACTCGAACGCACAGAATAGGAATTTTCATTATTCAAGTATTCTTTATTATTATTACTATTATTATTTCAGGCAAGCACTAAATGTAGTTGTTTTTGAAGATCGATTCATCTCCTATTGGCTGCGTTTCAAGCACGTGATAAGGAAATGGGTTAAATTCCAGTAGGCTCTTTGGCGAACGTCTCTAAAATTGTGCATTCGTTTAATGCGGGTCATCAAACTTTATTCATAGCTAATTTCAGAAAGTCCTCAGCCTTCTTTACGTCAAAAAATTTGTTTTGTTTTTCGGATACTTGCCTAGTTCTTGTATTTACTGGCAAAACCCGAGAAATTATGTGTGCGCTTTCTAGACACATCAATAAATACAACGACGGAATAAAAACCAATCATGGAAATGTTTCGGTTTTCTAATACATTCAAAAGTTTTACTTGCGTTATTAATATTATAGTTTATCAAGCGATAAGGATCTTTCGCTTTCCTGTGACATGAATACACCCATGGTACAATTTGTTCCTAAACGATGATAGAAAATGAGAAGACAACAGATGAGAGATCGTTATATTTTGATAAACTCGGTATTAAAATAGTACCAGGCTAGAAATTTTAACGAATAAAATACAATAAAATAAACCAAAAAAAAAAAAAAAAAGAAAAATTATTGAATATCATATTTATTTGGAATTAACGAAAGTTTTAGTTAAACTTTAAATTCTGACAATAAATTTAAACGTTTTGACAATATTTTGGAATACTAAGATTATTAATACTCTGAAGAGAATATAATTAACAATCCAATTATGACATTAAGTGACCTTGTTGCGACGGGAAAGAGGCTAACTGATTGATTAAGTGGTCTAGTTTCCGACCCATCTCGCTGTTCGCATAACTTTCTGATTAATATTATTGTTTTCCAGATTTTAAATTAAAAAACCGACGGAAAACTTTTCGTTTCACTTGTAGGAAATGTATGGTTATGACTAGTCCTAATTTCAATAAAATTATAGGGGAAGTTTTAAATAGAGTTAATAGTAAATGTGTGGTATTTATATAAATCTTGTAGTAATTTAAAATAAATGTGTTAAGTGATTACGAGCCAGTTTCTCTTAGAAAGTTCTTTATGAACGAAATCTCTTAGAAAAATCTTTCATTTTTCCTTTTTTCCCTCAGGAAGTTCTTTCGGTAGATAAACTGGTCGTGAACTAAGTAATTTAAATAGGAGACAAATTTTTATTAAAGGTCTTCTGGACGTTAAAATAATTAATATATTCTTAGTCAATGAACACTTCGGTGTCACTGTTAATTCAATATAACAATAATGATAATGAAAAAAATTTCATACAATAATAATGAAAGTTTTAATATGTTGTAAAAAATGATTAGAATGGGTTATAGAGGCACAGCGTGAAGAGATGCAATGAGAGAAATGTGACTGATCCACAATTTTATGCAGTATTTTTTGAAGTCATTCACACATAAAAAAGGAATGAACCCAAATAAAACTTAGCATTTGCATTAAAATTATTTATATGAAAAGTGGTACAGTTTTTGATAACCAGTTTCAAAAAACTATCTTAAGATCAGTTACAAACAGATAATTATAGTTACTACCTAAAATTGGTTTGAAAAATCTTGAATTATGTCGAATGTAGGCACTGTGAAAATTAGTGTATGTACTATTGCAATTTTCTCGAAATTTTTTAGAGATCTTATAATTTTTTTGTTCGGCAATCATGGAAAATACCGATTTTAAATCATTATAGCATCATAAATATTTACTAATTGGAAGTTTAATTGATTCTATTAGTAATAATCACGTTGATGCAAGCAATGTTTTAAAGCAGAGTGCGCTTAATTGATGGCATAACCAGTGATCATCATTGACTTGAAGCTAAGAGCAAATTTGTGGCCCCATTTGAAATATTCTGTACAAGTAAAAGGCATCCGTCAAATGGAAGGTAATTAATTGAGACCATAATCTCTTCCTGGGAACACGTCATCAAAAAGGAAGAGGTATTAACGCTATCAGCACAATGAGACTTTGCTGTAGTTTTTTTTTTTTTTTTTTTTTTTAATAATAAATGCTATTCTAAGAAACATTATAGTCAAAACCGATTTAAGGAATTTCGAAGCCCCACTTGGTTCCCTTTAAAATCAGATCAATAAGTTCCTTTTAAAATTCTGTTCATAGCATTTTTTCTGTATATTTCCCGATTTGTACTACCAATTAGTATTTAGTTTCGAAAACAAACATTATAGGTTTTTATGTAATATTTTTTGTGTATTAGTGATTTTCAAAATTACTTACTCCCCCCTTAACTAAACAAATTGTAATTGTCTTAAGACTCTGATGTAAAATTTGAGCAATTTTTACTAAATTTGTATTTTTACTTAACTCAGAATTACAGAATGATTTCTAAGTAATATTTTCTGTATGTAAATGATTTTCAAAATTACTTACTACCCCTTAACTAAACAAATTGCAATTGTCTTAATAATCTGTGATGTAAAATTTGAGCAATTTTAATTGAAATGCATGTTGATTTCAGTGAAAATAATCTAAAATGTTTAGTTTATTTTTACTGAACTCAAAATTACAACATAACCGTGTTGCATAAACAAAAAAAAAAAAAAAAAAAAAAAGTAACAAAAAAGTTTTTTTTTTTCTTTTTTTTTTTTTTTTTTTTTTTTGTTTTTTTTTTTTTTTTTTTTTCTTTTTTTTTTTTTTTTTTTTTTTTTTTTTTCTTTTTTTGCCTTTTTTCCCTGCGCAATTTCCTCTTTACATAGGTTTTAGCACTGGAAATGCTACTAGTCTCAAACATCACTTTTTTATCCGTATGGCTTTTTAAATATTGCCACCAAATGTTATCGCTATTTATTATTTTTAAAGGAATAACGTAGCAACTAGAAACAAAATGCACATCAACACGAATATAAGAATGTTGCCACTAAATGGTATCCATACATATTATTTTCAGCA